AATGAATGGCAAATGTCAAACCCAACTTCTCTGAACTTTTATTTAAAAAAATTAATTTATGATTTTTTCAATGAAAGAGGAAATTTCTTAACAGATGGCTTCACCACAATTTCTTCCCAGTGTTCCATGTTCATACTTAACTGAAATCACCCACTCAGGATAACCATGTTTCATCATGGGAGGGGTAGCCACAGACCTTATTCTAATACAGCACAGTTTTATTTTTTTTTATTTTTTTTAAAGATTTCATTTATTTATTTGACAGAGAGATCACAAGTAGGCAGACAGGCAGGCAGAGGGAGAGGGAGAAGCAGGCTCCCTGCTGAGCACAGAGCCCCATGTGAGGCTCGATCCCAGGACCCTGGGATCATGACCTGAGCCGAAGGCAGATGCTTAACCGTCTGAGCCACCCAGGCGTCCCACAGCACAGTTTTATAAAAACAAGCAGACCTGTCTTAAGTCATGACTGAGAGGTCTGCCAAGAAGAAGGCGGAAAATTATATACGGAAAAATTGCCCATCATTTAAGGCAACATTTTTTTTTCAAGCTGGAAAGGAAAGCAAATGTGTGGACACCGCATGTTTGAATAGAACCCTCACAGAATCTCCAGACTACTGATTTCCTTATTTCTACACAGTTCAACAGACAATACGGAACACCTGAACCATCTCTGACCATGCCAGTCTGCTTAACTTCTGAAATGGGCGTATTTCTTTAGATGCCTGTGAAGTTGGCTTACATTGAATTAAAGTTTACCTTATAAACAATACAATTCCTGTTCATCTTAAGAACCTAAAAGAAAAATCAACTTCGATTTCTTTTTACTACAGTCACTTGAAAGCTATTTTCTTATCACCCAGCCACCCCATCCCTCCCACCCCCCAAACCTTTGGCACATGTGTTCCTTTAAAAAAAAAAAAAAAGCTATTTTCTTTACATAACATCATTTAGTATCCTGTGGACTTTTGAGGAATTGCCAATTAGCTTGCAGACATCTTCTCAAGGACAGGGAGCTTTTTTCCTGCTTCTCCTATATTCACGCCCACAGATACTGGGTTAGTGCCGAGGGACAGGCTGAAGTCCAAAGTGCCTTTAGCAAGTGCATTCACTGCAGCAGCGCACTTGCCTACCTTAGGTTATGATTAGCAGCCCGGATGCCCCTCTGCAGCCAAGGTTAATGCCTTTTCGCACGTCTACTTAAACTTAAAACAATACCTGGTTCCAAGCCAATGCTCAACAAACATTTGCTAAGTGGGGCTACAACATGACTATTTGCTCATTGGAGATAAACCCTGAATGGCTTTGTTGAGCATGTCTTTATGTTGCTACAATTTAACTATTTCTATAAGATTAAAGCATCCAAATGGGAAAGGGCAGGAGTGCCTGATTTGGTTTGTAGTCACATGAAAGATTAAAGCATAAAGATCATTTAACTCTAGTTTGTCTTTGGATAAATGAGGAAACCAGGGCCCAAAGATGCTGAGACAATGTCAGCAAGGCCCAAATCAGTACCCTGCATCCCAAACCCTTTGCCTCGCCTGCACATAGACCTCGCCTCTGAATGCCAGGCTGCTCCGTCCACCAGCCAAGAGCTCCGTGTGCTTGACTAACGTGTGGCTCAGACTTCTGTGGCTCCCACCAGTCTGCTTTCCCCCTGACTTCCCTGTCTTACTAAGAGTCCCTTCACTTTTCAGGCCAAATATCTGAGAGTCATCCTCGATTCCTTGACCTCCACACTCTGTACCCAGCACACCTACCAGTCCCCTTATTTCTACTTATGCAACTTGTCCCGATTTTGAACACTTCGTCCCAACTTGGCCCACTTTCCCTGCTGTCGTGACCTCTCAATGGCCACCCTCCCTGCTTTCACTCCTGCCTCCTCCAGGTCATCCTCAGCAGACCCGTGACCAGCTCAGATTGGAAATCCGATAAAGTAATTTCCCCTGTTTAACTCCTCCCTTCCCAGCCCTCCCCCCCACCACCCCTGCCCAGTGATTTTCCATCTCACAGAGAGTAAAACCCAGAATTTCCACCATGGATTTCAAGGCTTGATGTGATTGAGATTTTCAAAGTTAGGGACAGGGTCTCTTAGAGGCACAATCTCCTTCTACTTCATTTCAGAGTCAGCGTGGGGGTTCAGGTGGGTCACTGATGTGACGTAACACATGATTTCTTATATTCTCGCATGAATACACCTGAATCTCAGCCTAAATATCCAGGGAAAAAATGCCTTCCTGAGAAAGAATGGAGAGGCACGGAATGATCACTTACAATAAGACTGACCTTCATATGGAGGGCTTGCCATTATTTACGGGTACACATTACTACCTTGAGCGGTGACCTGTGCCCAACATGCTCTCACTGCACTGTTTGCTCCTCGGGGATAAATACGGTGTCCATGCATCTCTATACCCCGGGAGCCCAGCACAGTTTGGGCATCATACTGGGATTTAGCCCATGCTTAGGACATGGGAGAGTGAATGACTCAAGTCCTGGCCGACCACACAGCACTACAAACGGGCCGAGCCAGCTGCAGCTTTTTCTCGTAGTTACTCTCTGCCCATGCTGAGCTGTTTAGAAGAGACACCGAGCGATAGGGCCATTATCAGAAAGGGGGACACTTGCTTTCAGTGCCAGGAAGGGCCAGAACTGTCACTAAATGCCTCCCTCCAAAACCAGGAGGTCCAGTGAAAATCCTTAGCATTGAGTCTTTGGCACCTCTCATTCTGAACCTTTCCAGATGTTAGCACCACTGTGATAATCACCACATTTCTATAGATTACTGTGCTTACAAAGTGCTTGACAGCTGGTTTTAGTTGCTCTCCCGGAGCAGTGATCCTGAAGGTAGTATGTATTGTTATCTCCACTGCAGATCAGAGACCTGAGTCACCAAAAAAAAAGGGGGGGGGTTCAAATAACCCAAGTGGAAACACAGAGCATGCTAGAGGACAGATTTCCAACCTTTCCAACCTGTGATACCCTATTATTTGTTCGTTTGGTTATTCTGTCCTCCCCTTACTTCCTCCAATACATATACTTGCTTCCAAAAAGTGGCTCATATCATAGTGCTTTTTAAGGTTAATTTAATTTCAAGCTGCCCCTCGAGAGAGCTGGCAATACCCCAGGCCTGAAAGTCACTGCAGTTTTTCGAGAGCAAGCATTGGACCTTGTAACACCCCTCTGCCCTAATCTCTTCATCAGTGCTTCTTTTAACAAGCTACTATCACAAACAATCCTTTCTCAATGAATGAAAAATATTTCCGGAACTATATCCAAGCACTTCATTTTCCTGTCAGAAAAGTAATTGTGGCTGGCTGGTATACCAGTTTGAAAAATCAAATTTAAATGAGCCAAATTTAAATTTATAAGAGCCTCATTTAACATGCAATTAATTTTATGCCTATAATAAAAAGAGAAAAACCACCGGTCTTCCTGAGGAATTAAATAGGCTGATAAGGAAATGCTGTGCCTCATGGAAATGAGATAAATTTGTTCTTGAACTGTCATCCTTTTGGTTGCATAATATTATATACAATACATTCTATTTCAGGGAAGTGTTAATTTTACTGAAATTAAATCATTTTTTCTGAGTACTCCTAGGAATGTGACCAAATGGTTAGGGCTAAAACTTAGATTATTGGTTCCAGATTTTTTTTTAAGTTCTCTCTCTCCTTTATATTACCTAAGTCTTTATAGCTTCTAGTGTTTTCGTTTCTTCCCCCAAAGAACAGGGAATAATAGAAATGGTAGAACTCAGCTATATTTAAGGTTCTTCAAACTTTGTTTCAATCAGTAAAAGGTTGAGCAAAACCTTCATTTGCCAATCCTTTTATTCCTGTTACAACACATGTGTACATTAAGATGGGCTTGGCAATCATTTATTTCTGACATACCATTTTAATGTTTTTGATGTGCAATAAATATATCCCATCCCACTGTAAGCCTGTTAAGTTATTCATAACATGACAGTGATTTGCATTTTTTCAAGAAGAAAGAAGTTAAACTCTTGGGCGACTTTTTATTCTAAACTTTGCTCCTGGATACGGCCACAAATGAGTCACCGTGAAAGATCATTACTGGGTATGTGTTTTCTGGTGAGGTAGGAGTACTGAAATTATTGACAAAGTTACAAGACTTTTTTTTAAAGATTTATCTATTTTAGAGAGAGAAAGAAAAAAAAAGCATGGGGGTAGGGGCAGATGGAGAGAGAGAGAGTCTTAAGCAGACTCCACACTGAGTGTAGAGCCTGATGCAAGGCTTAATCTCACAACCCTGAGATCGCAATCCTTGAGATCATGACCTGAGCTGAAACCATGAGTCACATGCTTAACTGAACTGTGCCACCCTATAAGACTTTTCTTTGTTGAGGACAAAGACAGCCTTTGATATATTTTTTAAAGGTTCTAGGGGCCAGTTAATATATCATTGTATTCAGTGTCTTTTTGAAACTAATACAGTGCTTTTTTTAAAGTAAATGTTTGAAGGAAACCAAACTTGAACTATTTCTATTTTATTTTATTTAAATTCAATTAATTAACATATGGTGTATTATTAGTTTCAGAGGTAGAGTTCAGTGATTCTTCAGTTGCGTAGAACACCCAGTGCTCATCATATCACGTGCCCTCCTTAATGCCCCTCACCCAGTTACCCCATCCCCCCGTCCACCTCCCCTCCAGCAACCCTCAGTTTGTTTCCTAGGGTTAAGAGTCTCTTAAACTTTAACTATTTCTTTTTTTTTTTTTTTTAAGATTTATTTATTTATTTGACAGAGAGAGACACATCAAGAGAGGGAACACAAGCAGGGAGAGTGGGAGAGGGAGAAGCAGGTTTCCCACCGAGCAGGGATCCCGATGCGGGGCTTGATCCCAGGACCCTGGAATCATGACCTGAGCCGAAGGCAGACGCCTAACCGACTGAGCCACCCAGGCGCCCCCAACTTTAACTATTTCTAATAGTGCTTACATTTGTACTTTTTGGGTTTTTCCTGCCTTGGTTGCCAGGGCTGAAGGGCTCCCTCCAGAGGCTGCAGCTCGAGTATGTGGACGTAGTCTTTGCAAACCGACCGGACAGCAACACCCCCATGGAAGGTGAGTGAAGAAATTTGATGAAGTTATTGATTCTAACTGGATGACTCATTTCACTACTAGTAGGAAATGAAATACATTCAGACTGATTTGGTTGAATGGGGAAAATGAACACCTTTCCAGTCAATGTCTTTCAATCTCAGCATTTACCCTCAAGGCCAGAGCTCTGCATCCTGCATCTTCATTCCTTTTTGAAGCGCCCACAGGCATTGGGACTGTGGCTCCTGCTGGTTACAGTGCTCCCTTTTTCCAGGTTCATCTCACTTCTGCAATTTCATCAACTGAAAGAATAAAATTAATTGGAAGGGGAGTTTATAACCCAGCCATCATTATTTAGGAGTAAGTCCCTTGATGATCTTCCTCTTTTGTAATGACTAGGTCTGATTAGCTTCCAATCTGTGGTAACAGGTGCTAAGTGGTACCATGAGCAGAGGTTTATAGGAGTGACTACTTCAAAATGAGACTCTTCATTGCAATTTGGGTTTTGATTTTCAAGGAGCTGCAACATTTTAGTCCCTTTTTGTTACAACTGTTTGAAGACAATAGGCATCTTCCTGTGGAAACTTTGAGAATGTTCCTAAAACTAAATTTTCTTCAATTTACATTTATTTATGGAGTCTACCTAAGATGATTGAGAAAGAAGATAGTTTGGGGGGGACATATTAGCATGTTTTACTTAATTGAGATTTACAGTCTTATGGATTAGACTTACCTTAGGTGAATAAGAACAAAGATATCTGGGGGATAAGAGGAAAAAAGAATGTTCTGTCATTTAAGGCTTATAATATGACACACAGTTACACATTTTCAAGGAATTAGAATAGGGCAAATTCTATTAACTATTCAAAATTATACTGAAGATAAATTTGTCCTTGATGATTCAAAAGGTGGTCCAGGATCTTATAATAAATCAGGTTCTATAAAGGTTTATTCTTGCTATAGGGTTATAGAAGTTATAGAAGTACAAATGATTGTACATAGGAAAGTATATATGAATTTTTCTATAGGTTGCATTTCTGACAAAATATTATGGAAATTATTTTCCTTGCCATTTATCTCTTAACTACAGAGATATGTTAAAAATATATTTTTATATATCTAATTTTCTCTTAGAGCCTTCTGCTTTCTTGATTCTGAGTAAATCAGGAGTTTATCATAGAACAATATCAGTGTTGGAAATTCGTAATAAGAATTATCCATGGAAATGACATAAAAATGCCTATTTTTATCAAGGCGAAGAATAGGTATTTCATAAAGTAGTCATAAACATCTTATTAGTGTAAGAAGTGCTTATTGCAAGGATAACATGATGTCACACTCTCCTCAATGACACATTGAAAGAGAATGCTAAAACTATCTGATAAACAAAAGTGTCAAATAAAATGCCATTTGGTGGGGACTGTGAAAGACTGAAATTGCTTCCAAGTGCCTAGTGCCACTATTTTCCTCTTTGGAAAAGAATCCTTTGCAATTACACCATGTACAGGATAGAAAAACATTTGGGATTTTCCCGGGTCTTTTTTTTTTTTTTTTTTTTTTTTGCCCATTTTGCGCATCCTGCCCCATGTCTAATTTTAGAGCTGTAATTCAGGAATCTCTCAAACAGAAAACATTATAATTTGCATTCTATACCTTTAGAAGGAGGAAGTTCTCAGTTAGGGTCTAAGCTATGTGATTTTGATAAGATAATGGTGTCTTGTGTGTGAACATGATGTGCTGAAGTTTAGTAGAAGGGAGCTTCAGAGTGCTAAACAAACCAACGGCAACAACATTCGAAACACCAGATTGCTGCCCAATAGAATTTGTAACTGCAGCATTGTCCGGCCTTTGCTAGAATTGGAGAACATGTTCATTTTCCCCGCATTTCTCATATAAAATTCCACAGAGCAGAAAATTTTATCAAGCTATTTTGTCAAGAGTCACTGTCCAAGTTCAGAAGTCTAATGAAGGAGGCCAAACAATAGAAATTTGCACTTGATGATAAGATCAAGGAACATGGCATTTTGTGGCTCTGTGGCCATCCACCATTTCAATGCTGGAATGTAGTCGGCTCTCCCCACCCTCCACCAAAGGGATCCACTCCTAGCTGGCCCATCAGGCTCTAAGGCTTATTCCTCTGGGAGGATTTAGCAGGGACATACCAAAGAAATTCCTCAAGTAGGACTTGTTCCAGATTGAAATCGCTTCCCTGTAATTTCTCCCTGGCTTTCAGAAAATGTGTATCCTCAAACTTAGTATGCTAATTTGTTCCAAGGTGGGCCTGGTGGAGATGCTGGTGTGATACTAGTCTCTGGAAACTTATTCTCTGCTTTTTGTGTCTTCTACTTTACTGTAGCAGAGGGCAGCACTGATCTGGGCAATAGAGAGAAGAAGAAACAGGAAATAAAAAGAAAATGAGAACTAGACAGGGATTGCCAGGAGGCCTTGGGTGCATTTGCTCCCTTAAAAATGGAAGAATATGGGGCGCCTGGGTGGCTCAGTTGGTTAAGCGACTGCCTTCGGCTCAGGTCAAGATCCTGGAGTCCCGGGATCGAGTCCCGCATCGGGCTCCCTGCTCAGCAGGGAGTCTGCTTCTCCCTCTGACCCTCCTCCCTCTCATGCTCTCTGTCTCTCATTCTCTCTCTCTCAAATAAATAAATAAAATCTTTTAAAAAATGGAAGAATATGGCATCTAAGCTATTTCTGGATTCCATGTTGTTATTAAGATTCATTTCTGCCATGAGTTTCTAAGTCATAAGTTGTGTGTGAGTGAAGGTTGTACATGTACAATGGGGTCTACCTCAGAGGGCTATTAGTGTTTCTAAAAACAGCAAGAAACTAAATATTATATATAATCAGAATTACCCTTCAAAAGCCTACAGTAGTTCTTTGTTAGTCAATGTTACTCTATAGTCTTTAATTAGTTTTCAATTTCCTCTGCAAATATAGTGACAAAACCATGACTGGATACTTGCCCAGCCCCCCAACCCCCCCTTTTCTAATTTTTGTAATGGTCAGAAAACCCTTAATATCGTTCACATACTTTTCTTTATTTCAGCAACTCACATTGGCAATTTTAGGTTCGACTGCATCCATTCCTGTCTAATATAAGTGATGTAACTGTGGCTGCCAAGTGCATAGAGATGAAGTTTCATATATTAAATCTACATATGTTGGCACTGTACTGCGTGTGTGTGTCTGGGTATCTCATATTAGACCCTTAGCCTTTGAAAATCATTTTTATTGGTTTCAACCATTCCTATCAACTCCGTGGAGCCACGGCACATGCTAAGCTATAATTTTGGTGAGGCACCTGGTTTAAACCCCAGGGACCTAATGAGAGAGCCCAGCGCAGCTTTCTGAGACACGTTTTAAACTTTGATTTAAGTTTATTAAAATGCCAACCCATTCATTTGATTTGCACCTTGAAAGGATGTTAATTGGGAATGTTTCTAAAATAAACCAAGATGAGTTTCATTCAGTTTCTCCATATTCTATGGCAACCAACTGAGCCAGAAAAAGATGAGCAGTGGCATCTTCTTCATAATATATAGGCATCATATATCCAATTAGTTGGTGTCTTCCCTTCTTCTTTAGAAAACCAGTAGACAAAAAGTGAGCCCTCTCAAAAGAATGGCTGTAAATTCCAAATGTGCCATCAGTGGAGAACATGGTTAAGATGCTTAATTTGCAATCTGCAAGCCTATGCAGTGCAATTACATTTTACAGCATGGGACGATGTTCCTGACAACAGAGGGGAACTCTTGTACTTTTCCCTCTGTCCTTCTTGTTTATTTTTTCTGGTTCACCTAGTAGGAAGTCATTTTTCTTTCACAGCATCTGCCATACCATCTGTCTCTTCTACAATATCTGGCATCGATGGTGTGTGTTTCAATCCCAGAAAGAAAGGAAAAAAAAAAAAAAATCAGCCCCGTATCCCATTTCTTCTTTCTTACGCTGCTGTGTTCTTACCAGAGTCACTGACAGTTCCTTGTGCTCTCTGCTACTCATATTCTTAATTCTCTCATTTCCATAAATCCCACTGTGTATTTCAGAATCTTCTCCTGAGCTCATACAAAAGAAACTTCAGGGCGCCTGGGTGGCTCAGTTGGTTAAGCGACTGCCTTCGGCTCAGGTCATGATCCTGGAGTCCCGGGATTGAGTCCCGCATCGGGCTCCCTGCTCAGCAGGGAGTCTGCTTCTCCCTCTGACCCTCCCCCCTCTCATGCTCTCTCTATCTCATTCTCTCTCAAATGAATAAATAAAATCTTTAAAAATAAATAAATAAATAAATAAAAAGAAACTTCATTCCAACATAAGTCAGCCTCGAAAGGGATAGACACAGAGCATTTGTGTGTCTGAGGACCTGTATTAGAGGTTTTTTGGTTTGGTGTTCTGTCATTCCCAAGTGTCAGGCTAATTTCTCTCTATATATCCTTCTCATTGTTCCAGAGAGTGAGTGAGTGAGCATTACTAGAGGGCAGGAGTCTACAAAGCATGGACTACTTGTGAATAACAGAAAAAAAGAGGGGAACTGTTTTTGTTTGCATAGCTTTTTAATTTTTTTTAAGATTTTATTTATTTGACAGAGAGAAAGCAGGGGGAGCGGCAGGCAGAGGGAGAAGCGGGCTCCCCACAGAGTGGGGATGAGAATCGATCCCAGGACCCTGGGATCATGACCTGAGCCGAAGGCAGACACTCAACCGACTGAGCAACCCAGGTGCCCAGTTTGCATAGCTTTTTAAAAAGGAAAAGAGAAATCCCACCAATGTGTTGATCTGAGAATATGATGATTTTTTAATGAAATCATATTTTAATTTAAAAAACATTTGGAATTCAGCCTTCTAACTTTTATTTAGAGCTTTTTGCCAAAACTAGTTAATCTCACAGACTCTCTTAGTCATTAGGTGTTTTCCCAACCTAATTACAGTTCCATTTTTTTTTTCCTGCTAGCAAGTCAATGCAGACATAAACAACACAGATTGTCTTTTTTACTTATTTTTTAAGATTTATTTGACAGGGAG